TCAAATTGCTGTTACGTTTGACCCCATTGTTGCAACCGTTACGTCAGTCCATCTCATTGAGGGTCGTCTTCATGTTTGCTGATCCTCTACCAAGTACGATGGCCTTCTTCAGAGACTGCTTCCGTCTGGCAACATGTCCAAAGTCTTGCCATTCTCGCTTCTAAGAACCATTCTGGCTGAAGGAGTGTTCTGGCTGTACTTCTTCCGACATAGATTTGCTCGTTTTTCTGGCAGTCCACGGTAAATTCAGTATTCTTTGCCAGCGTCATAATTGAAATGCATCAATTCTTCTTGGGTCTTCCTTATTTGTTGTCCGGCTTTCACGTGCATATGAGGCATTTGAAAACATGGGATAGGTCAGGTGCATCTTAGTCCTCAAAGTGACATCTCTGCTTTTGAAGACTTTAAAGAGGTCTTTTGCTGCAGATTACCAATGCAATACTTGTTTTTTTCTCTTAACTGCTGCTTTCACAGAAGCTGATTATAGATCCATGTAAAATGAAATCCTTTACTTCATTATTTTCTCCATTTATTATGGTGTTGCTTATTGGCCCAGTTTTACTGGTTTTTGTTTTCTTTATGTTGTGGTGTAATTCCTTCTGAAGGCTCTAATCTTTGACCTTCATCTGTAAGTGCTTCAAGTCATCTTCACTTTCACCATGCAAGATTGTGTTATCTGCACATATCAGGTTTTTAATATCTTCCTACAATCCTGGTGCCATGTTTTTCTTCATATAGTCCTGCTTCTCAGATTATTTGCTCAGCATACAGATTGAATAAGTGGTGAAAGCACACAGCCCTGATGCACACTTTTCCTGATTTTAAATAAACCATGCAATATTCCCCTTGTTCTGTTTGAAAGACTGCCTCTTGGTCCATGTACAGGTTCTGCATGAGCAAAATGGAGTGCTCTGCAATTCCCATTCTTCACAATGTTATCTGTAATTTGTTGTGATGCACAGTCAAATGCCTTTGCATAGCCAATACAACAGAGGTAGACATCTTTCTGTGTTCTCTGCTTTCAGCCAAACTCTTTCAGACATCAGTAATGATATCCTTTGTTCCACATCCCCATCTGAGTCCAGCTTGAATTTCTGGCAGTTCCCTGTTGATGTACTGCTGCAACTATTTTTGAATTATTATCTTCAGCAAACTTTTACTTGCATGTGATATTAATAATATTGTTCAATAATTTCTGTATTCTGTTGGATCACATCTCTTTGGAATGGACAAAAATACAGATCTCTTAGAGTCAGTTGGCCAGGTAGCTGTCTTCCACATTTTTTGGTATAGACGAATGTACGCTTCTAGCATTGCATCTGTTTTTTTTTGAAACATAGCAATTGCTATTTCATCAATTCCTGGGCTCTTGATTTTTCCTAATGCCTTCAGGGCAGCTTGGACTTCTTCCTTCAGTATCATCAGCTTTCGGTCATATGCTACCTCCTGAAATGGTTGAATGTCAATCATTTATTTTTGGTATAGTGACTCTTTGTCTTCTTTCCATCTTCTTTTGATGCTTCGTAGGTCATTCAATGTTTTACCCATAGAATCCCTCAGTATTGCAAATTGAGGCATGATTTTTGTCTTCAGTTCTTTTAACTTGAGAAATACCACGTGTGGTCTTCTCTGTTAACTCTAGGTCTTTGCACATTGCATTATAATATTTTACTTTGTCCTTTCTAGCGGCCCTTTGAAATTTCCTATTCAGCTTCTATTTCATCATTTCTTCCATTCACTTTAGCTACTTTAGTTCAAGAGCAATTGTCTGAGTTTCTTCTGATAGCCATTTTGCTCTTTTCTTTCTTCACTGTTAATGATCTTTTGTTTTCTTCATGTATCATGTCCTTGATGTCATCCCACAATTTATCTGCTCTTCAGTCAGTAGTGCTCGTTGCATGAAATCTGTTTTTGAGACGGTCTCTAAATTCAAGTGGGATATACTCAAGGTCATACTTTGGCTTTCCTAGCCTTGTTTTAATTTTCTTCAGCTTCATCTTGCACTTGTATACATGAGCAATTGATGGTCTGTTCTGCAGTCAGCCTCTTGCCTTTTTCTGACTAATGATATTGAGCTTCTCCATCATATCTTTCCACACATGTACTTGATTTGGTTCCTTTGTGTTTGGTTCCTGTGAGGTCTGTGTGTATAGTCGCCATCTATGTTGAAAAAAAGGTATTTGCAATGAATATGTCATCAGTTGTGCAAATATTCTTTTTCTATAGGGTAGAAAAACAGGAACAACCAAGAGTATCTTATCCTCAAAGCCAAGGAAAGATAGTTTTTGAGGAGGAAAGTGAATTTAAGCCTATCAAGTGGTACTGATAGATCAAGTTAGATGAGGACTGAGAATTAGTCATTAGATTTAGCACCATGGGGTCATTAGTTGTTATTGTTAGGAGTCAGTTCTGACTCGTAGCAATCCTATATGACAGAGTGGAACTGTCCTGTAGAGTTTTTCTTGGCTGTAATCTTTATGGCTGCAGGTCACTAGGTCTTTTGCCTGCAGAGCTACTAGGGGGGTTCTAACCAACAACCTTTAGGTGGCTAGCCAAGTGCTTAACCCTCCCTGAGCAGTCAGGGCTCCTGGAGGTCATTAGGGACCTTGGCAGAATCCAAGGTTTTAGTGAAGTAGTTGGGGTGAGAGAATTGAGTGGAAACTGCAAGTATAAACAGTTATTTCAAGTAGTTTTGTTGTAAAAGGCCGTAGAGAAATAGGGTGAAGTGGGAATAAGGGTGATTATTTAAAATGAAAGGAATAACAGCATGTATATGTTGATGACAATGATCCATTATACATGATGCCTAAGGCACTTGACTGCTAACCAGAAGGCTAGTGGTTCAAACCCACCAGCCACTCCTCAGAAGGAAGGTAGGGCAATCTACTTCCGTAGTGATACTGCCTCGGAAACCCAAGGGGGGGTCGCTATGAGTTGGGTCTGACTCGAAGGCACATAACAACAGAGGAAAAATTGTTGGAATGATGCCTTTGAGGAGACAATAAGGAATGGGATCCAGTGCATAGGTAGCAAGCTTGACCTTAGATAGATTTCACAGACAATTTATCCATAATCTAAAAAACCCCAAACTTACTTCCATCGATTCTATTCCAACTTATAGCAACCCCCATTGGGTTTCCAAGGCTGTAAATCTTTACATAAGCAGACTGTCTCATCTTTCTTCCATGGAGTGGCTGAAGGCTTTGAACCACCAACATTTTGGTTAGCAGCCAGAATACCTTAACCATGACACCATCAGAGCTCCCTTATCCATAATAATAGGTGAGAAAATAGAATGCAGATGATATTAGATAGGTTATTGTAATGGGAGTTGAGAAAGTTCTTTTCAGATTGCTTCAGTGTTCTCACAGAAAATGACAGTGAACCAGGATTTGAAATGATCAAATAATTGATTGACAGTAGCAATGACGTGTAGGAGGTAATAAAGCCTAATGACATATTGAAGACTGGAAATTTTTAGGGAGGAAGGAGAGTGAAGGGTCTGCAAAAATAGATTTGGTGCAACCTTCAAGAGCAGGATTGACAGAGGTCTGTGGGAGAAAACAGCCACTGCAGATGACAGAGAGGACTGCAGGAGAACCCACAGCCTTAGGGCAGAGGCTTGTTCAAGACGATGAAGGGAACATTCAGAGAAGAGCTGGAAGTAGAGAGGTTTGCTTGATGATAGATTGTGGGGAAAGGTAAATATGGGACCTGTGGTATAGTGCGTAAGGGATTTGACTGCTAATCAGAAGCCTGGCAGTTCAAACCCACCAGCCACTCCTCAGAAGGAAGGTTGGGCAATCTACTTCTGTAGAGATACTGCCTCAGAAACCCAAGGGGGGTCGCTATGGGTCAAATTGACCCAACGGCAGTGAGTTATTAGTGTCCTGTGCTATAGCAAAGTACCACAAATGTACACAGATTACCTCAGAAATCTTTTCTCTCACAGATCTTTAGGGCAGAAGTCTGAAATCACTGTCACTGGACATGCCAAAAGTTTAAGGGGTGAATCCATTTTTTGTCTCTTCCAACTTCTGGTAGCTGCCACCGTTCCTTGGCTTGTGGCCACAACACTCAAATCTCCATCTTCACATCACATTCTTCCTTTCTGTCTTTGTCTAATCTCCCTCATTATTATAAGGACACTTGTGGTGGCATTTAGGAGCCACCTGGATAATCCAAGGAAGCTCTGTTGGCACAGTCATTAAAGCATTCAGCTTCTAACCAAAAGATTGGTGGTGGTTCAAATCTACCAGTCCCTCCATGGGAGAAAGATGAGGCTGCCTGCGTCTATAAAGATTTATGGCCTCGGAAACCCTTTGGTGCAATTCTGCTCTGGTTATGAGTTATAATCAACTTGATGGCAATGAGTTTTGTATAATCCAGGACAATCTCCTTATCACAAGATTCTTAATCACATCTGCAAAGCCCATTTTTCCAAATAAAGTGACATAGGTTCTAGGGATTAGGACCTGAGATAGGTAGGTAGGTAGGTAGATGGATGGATGTATGTGTGTGTGTGTGTGTGTGTGTGTATACATATATATATATACATACATACATATATATATACTGCCTCGGAAACCAAAGGAGGGGTTGCTATGAGTCAGATCTGATGCCACCGCAATGAGTTTTGTTTAGTTTGTACTTCATACTCATTATCATAATGTTGTCTGTACTCAGATCAGATTATGTATTCCATAAGAGCAAGGACCATGTCCTATCATTTATAGCCAATGTCTAACCTAGTGCCTGGTACATAGATATGATTTAGGTTTGAATGAAAAAACAAAGCCATTTATTTTTCATATTCTTTAAACCACTTTTGTTACCTTCATACTTTGAGATTTTATATAAAGAGTTTTGCAAAAACGTATATACAAAGTACATTATTAATTTAAGTCATGATTGTTATTTTTTTAGAAAATGTTTATCATTTACCCTTTATTGTTATTATCAATACTATGACTTCTTTCTTTCTTTTTTTTCCTTCAGTGATGGAGCCCTCAGTGTTGGAAAGTGGCCCACTTTTTACCTCAGGAATTAAGAGACATGTGAAAGACAAAAGAATTTCAAAGAATGCTAAGTTAAATGTTTCTCTAGCTTCAAAAATCAAAACAAAAATAATAAGTAAGTGCCATTAGTTTTGAAGTATACTCACTTTTACTTTTTCCTGGAAAACTGGTGTAATATGGGTTCCTAATTTTATCAAGTATATAAATAAACTAAAATGATTACAGGTAGTCCCTGACTTAAGATGTATCCAAGTTATGATAAACTGCACTTGGGGATTGCCCATTGTTTGTTTGTTGGAGGGATACATCTTATCATTAGTAATATGTACTTCACACAGCATTGCGGTACATAATTTGCTGAAGTTACCATTCTCATGCCAACCCTCAAAGACAAATAAAAATCAGATTTATAAAGATGCTGGTAATAAAAGCCAATAATGAAAACAAGGGGGAAATAAAATGTATTCAACTTACGTCAGAACCAACTTACTACAGAATCGTCGGAATGGAACCCTGTCATAAAGACTATTTGTATTTATTTTGTTCATAGATACCTTTTGCATTTGATCCTTTCTGTCTCCTTCAACTCATGTTGTTAGTTGGGCAGTTAGGATGATGTATCTCCAGTGGTGAAAGCTGAGTTTTCAGGAGTGATGTTGAATGGCCTGAGCTATCCTCTTTATGTATATATTACAGTCTTCCTATTTCTGTCTCTGTATTCACATATCTTCTGCATTCCTTGTGACTTTATTCCTCATCTTCCTCCAACTTTCATTTCTTCAGCTCCATATTCTGCGTACTTTTTTTTTAACTCCATCTATATTCTCATTTTCTTCTTTTTCAACCTTTAGTTAAAAGCATATAGAGAAAAATGTATTTTGTCTAAAATAGTTTTATTCAAGACTAAGAAATTTTATTGATACAAGTTAAATATTAACTCTTTTAAAAATCTTTTACAGACAATTCTTCTATTTTAAAAATTTCTTTAAAGCACAACAACAGGGCATTAGCTCAGGCTCTCAGTAGAGAGAAAGAGAATTCACGAAGACTTACCACTGAAAAGATGCTGTTGCAAAAAGAAATAGAGAAACGGAATTTTGAGAACACATTTCTTCGTCTAAAGCTAAATAATTTGGTATGAAAATTATATTGTGTTAAAATTCTAAGGCATAACTAAAATCTTTTAACTACATCATTATAGAAACTCATAATGTTTTTCAAATCTCCAATTACTATAAAAAAATCATTGAAAGTCAACGTGCCATATAAATCTATGTTAAAGGACAAACTGCTAATAGAATAATAAAATAAGTGTCTTAAATCTGCATTCTATATGTGTTTGTTGTTTGTTGTTGTTATGTGCCATGGAGTTGGCCCTGACTCAATAGTGACCCCTCCTCGGGTTTCCAAGGCAGTATCACTACGGAAGTAGATTGCCCAACCTTCCTTCTGAGGAGTGGCTGGTGAGTTTGAACTGCCAGCCTTCTGGTTAGCAGTCAAGTGCCTTAGGCACTATGCTACCAGAGCTCTTCATTCTATATGTGGGCTGTGCAAACCAGTATATTACCATGATCAACATTTAATTGGCATCATAAGCAAAGCTAGGTCTATTAGTAGATTTTAAAAAGCTCCTTCAGTAAATTGAAAGGAGAAGAGTTCCCAGAGTGTTGCTATTCTCCCTTAATCCCAGCGTGTCATTGGCCACAAGGCAAATAGAATGAAGATTGTAGTCGTTACTTTTCCTTCCAACTTCCAACTCTGTCCACAGACAGGACAGGAAGAGCCAGTGATTAGTTAAGCTGTACAGATTCTAAATCTAAAATAAGTAGAAATTAATTTAAAATGGAAAAGTGATGTGTTATACTTGAGGATTAATTTCCTGTGGCTAACAAAACTGTGTTCACTTGCCATATGATACATTATTATGAAAAAATAAAAAAATGTTTTAGGAAAATCTATGATTAATAGATTAAAAGCATTCAAAATGTATATATATATATGGCTATTTGAACTATACAATATAGTCCTATCTTTTTAGCTTAATGTAATCTCTGAATCTTCTCACACTGAAAGTATTCATAAATGTATGGTATGATAATAAACTCTAAATCTTGATTGAAAAGAGTCTTGTTATTTTACATATGTAGAATAAGAAGCTCATAGAAATAGAAGCACTCATGAACAATAACTTGATAACCGCAATTGAAATGAGCAGTCTTTCTGAGGTAAGTAGAATTTATGTGTAAGTAGTATAATTTGTAAGCATTACTGAAGATAATCAACATTTAAATGTTGAACGTGATCAACATTTAATTGCTTATCATAAGCAAAGCTAGGTCTATTAGTAGATAGTATTAGTAGCTTTTAAAAAGAACCATTCCCTGGAGAAGGATATCATGCTTGATAAAGTGGAGGGTCAGTGAAGAAGGGAAAGGCCCTCAACAAGATGGATTGACACAGTGGCTGCAATGACAGGCTCAAGTGTAGCAAGGATTGTGAGGCTGGCACAGGACCAGGCAGTGTTTCATTCTGCTGTGTGTAGGGTCACTGTGAGTCAGAGACGACTTGACAGCACCTAACAACAACAACTGAAGATAATTGAGATTAGTTAAATTGTATCAAGGTTAGAGATTAATATTTTAAATTTTTCAGAAAGTAATGAAAATAATATCAATTTTAATTGACAGCACATTTTCATTTGGTATAATCAATTACTGAAATTTTTATATTAAAATTACCAAAAACCAAATTCACTGCCATTGAGTCAGATCCAACCCATAGCGACCCTCCTTGGGTTTCCAAGGCAGTATCACTACAAAAGTAGATTGTCCAATCTTCTCTCTGAGGAGTGGCTGGTGGGTTTGAATCGCCAGCCTTCTGGTTAGCAGTCAAATGCCTTAGGCACTACGCCACAAGAGCTTCCTATATAAAAAATCAGTTTTGATTAAAAATAGCATAGGATTAGACTGCTTAGTGAAACATAAACCCACTGCCACTGAGTCTGTTCTGACTCATAGTGACCCTATAGGACAAAGAGTAGAACTGCCCCATAGGGTTTTCAAGGCCATAATCTTGACAAAAGCAGACTGCCACATTTTTCTCCCGTGGGTTCAAACTATGGACATTTCATTTAGCAGCTGAACACTTTAACTACTGCACCACCAAGGTTCCTTTAGTAGAACATAATAGCTTCTAAATGGACTAAAAAACATAAATTAGTAGGATAAAGATAGCATTTCAAATTAGGAAATTTATATTATTTACCAAAAAAAAAAAAAAGACCCAACTGAGAAGATTTTGGGGAAAATGAAATCAGATCCAACTTTATACCATCCTCTAAAATAAATTTGAGATTGATTTAAATACGAAAAGGAAATCATAAAATAAGAAGAAAATACAAATGAACTCAATTTAGGTAGAAGAGGATTTTCTATACTTACGTGTAAAGATACAGACCATAAAGAAAGGTACTGATGGATTTTTTCAAAAAAATTATATGTTTGAAAAAACATTTAAAAAAAAAATGAATGGCAAACTGGGAAAAGCATTTAAACATAAGGCAGACAGCATTAATATGATTACCTAAAGAGCTCGTATAAACTTCATAAGGAAAATAAGTAAAAAAAATCAGCAAGGGAGAAGGGCCAAATATTAGTGAAATTAACCCAAGTATCTAAATAGCAAAAATAGTGTTGTGGATTAACAAATGAGAAGGCAAAACGTGCATAATACATAAGCTGAAGAAAGGTTATGAAACAGTATATGTGAAATCCCAAGTTTAGTGGCATTTAAATGATTGCCTATATATGTAGATCCCAACTTTGCTACTTCCTTATGTCCTCTGAGTTTGAACTCAAACACCGTAACTTTAACATTCTCATTGCAAAGTGTGGATAAAGGTAGTATGTCTACAGAGAGTTACTGGGAGAGTTACATGTAAGTGTGAATAACATGTCTGGCAATAGAGTACAATAAATGTTAGTTTTTATATACTTTTTTGTTCTATGTGTATTTTTCTGTTTATTCTTCAAAATTTTCTGTGAATCTCTTTTAAAAGCCATTAAGGCTTTTTGAGTTGAAATGCATTGCCTTTGTAATAAAAAGATAAGAACTCTTTCAACCTATATAGTAAATGTTCATCTCATTTCTCACAATTTTTATAAAAGTTAGCCAGAGTGTAGGTACTTGTGGTCTAACTTAATCCACATTTGTATGAAGAAAGGATCTATGGGACTTTCCCTGTGCAGTAATGCCCACAGCTTGTGCATCATCTCAAGTTATAAGTGTGATACATAGGACAACCAGTGACCTGAGTTGTGTCTTACACATTTAGCAACTGGTGTTTTTGTTTGTTTGTTTGTTTTTTAAAGGAGGTAAGATGCTTTATATCAAGGCAGGAGTGATGGTGGTGGAATAGGAAGGCACAGGCCTTCTGTTTTGCTAGTAACCTTGCAGGGCAGAATTGAATTGCTGTGAATAAATTACTAAGACTGGAGTCTGATATAGACATAGAGAGTGCAGAATCAGTATAGGAAGTGACTTGGAGAGTCAGAGACAAGAGAAATTTGACAGGATGTGGAAAGGAGAAGAATCATATCACCTATACCCCAAGGAACTTTGGAGAACAGATAGCCCTAAAAATTGCTCAACTCTGTTTTGAGATATGTTATATAAAGCCCCTTCCCCCCATCAGTTCTTTTTTTTTAAAAAAAAAAAAAAAAAAAAAGCCTTTAGTAGAGTCTTCGTTGTTGACAGATGTTTTTGCATGGTCCTTTTTGGAAAACTTGAAGAGGGTTGGGGCAGCATCTAGATTAAGGTAAGGCGAAAAAAAAAAAAGTTATGTGGATAAAAGAGCTGGAGGATAAAGGGATTGTGTACAGCTATGGTCCTTGCTTTCTTGGGTTTCTTTTTATTTAACAAATTTACTTCTACAACCATGTTTTATAGTTCCTTTTCTCTTTTAGTCAGGGATGGGAACAACAGATGACATAGATACATGAATCTAATATGGATCTAATATCAGAACAAGTATAGACTGCCACACATGCTTAAGTATTGATTAATTTTCTCTTTCTTACATAAAAGATAACAAACTATACTTTTTTTTTTTTTTTTGCAGATGCAAAATAATATATTTATTTATTTATTTATTTTAGGGTTTCTTTTTGTTTGTTTTTTTGCAGTGTTTCTTCCCCTCCCCTTCTACCCCTGGTAACCAACAAAGTTTTCTTCCGTATATAAACCTTTCCTTGAATTTTTTTTTTTTTTAATTGTGATTTGGGTGAAAGTTTACAGAGCAAATTCACTTTCCATACAGCAGTTCACATACACTTTGTTTCATGACATTGACTACAATTTACCACAATGCAATAGCTCCCCTCCCACTTCCTCCCCATAGTTACCTCTTCCCTGTGTCCTTCCTTCCATGCACTCCTGCTCCCTGAGCTATGTCCTGGTACATAAACAACTCTTCTATTCTCCCATGATTGTTCTCTTCAAGGAGTGTATCTACCTAGTATAAATGTTCACCTCATATGCCTGTCTTTTGTTTGGCTGGAAGCCACAGGTATGGGTTTAATTCCAGACCTGAAGGGCAGCTAGGGACCATAGTCTCAGTCGTTCCATCAGGCTCTATCAGACCAGAAATCCTGGTCCCTTTTTTTTTTTTTCCCAAATGGTTTGAGTTTTGTTCCACATTGTTCTCCCTCTCTATCCAGGATCTCCTACATAGATCTCCCTCCAAGTGGTTGACATTGGTAGCCTAGCACCATCTAGTTCTTCTGGTCTCATGGTCGTATAGGCTGAGGATCACATGGCGTAGCAGTTGCTTGGACTAGTTGTTTCCATGAATCTTTGGTTTTCTTCATTCTTCTTTGCTCTGGATGAGAAGAGACCCATCGTTGCATCTAGATGGCTGCTTGTAAGCTTTTAAGATCCCATTCGCTACTCACCAAAGCAGGATGTGGAACAATGTTTTGTGAAGTATGTTATGCCAATTCAGCTTGATGTCCCATGCGACTATGGTCCCGAGCCCACAGGTCCAACTACTCGCTCCCTCTGGGTAGCTGGCTGTGCCCAAGAAGTGACTACAACCTTGTCCCTTGTTAGCTCTACTATATACCTGGGAATATGTACAGAACATAGCAATACACTTGCAGGAACATTGTCTGCCAACCCTATATATACATGGTCTTGGGCACTCTTCCCCCTGGACAGACATACCTAATAGTTCAGCCTGTCCACCCATCTATCCACCTGTATATCCATGTTTGCCTTCACTGATAAGACAGTACTGTATGTGCAAAAAGGTTCATCTTTGTTGTCTGTACCTCCCATGTACCTCTCTGTGTCTTCCTCTTCCTCATTGGCTCCGTGTTGATCACTCACATTTGATACATTGCCCTTCTCTTCACCCAAATCAATACTTGTCTCTACCTATCTAACAGTATTCCCTCGCCTCCCCTCCCACCCCTGGTAATCAACAAAATTTCCTTCCATATATAAACCTTTCCTTGACTTTTATAATAAGGAAATAATACAATATTTGTCCTTCTGTGATTGCTTATTTCACTCAGCATGCTATACTTTTATGCCTTGGTTCTCTTTTTTTTTTTTTTTCCTTAACCTGGCACATCTTGAGATGTCTGATTGCACAGAGTGCTTCCTCATTCTTTGTCAGTGCTGCTTAGGAAGACTACAATGGTCCTTTTAACTGGACTTATGTTTCTGGACACTTGAATTGTCTTTTGCTGTTCGCTTGACCTTAGTATAGAATGCCTTTTCTTGTATCATCAGTTTTACCCCCCTCCTGATTATTTCCATAAGGATGCAAAATGTTATTATCTCTCACATCTTAAAAAAAAAAAACTTCTATTCCATTTACTTAGAAGCTACCATATCACTTCTCTCCTTTATAGCAAAATGCTTTGAGAGGGTTGTTCATACTCTGTCCATTTTCTGTTGAACCAACTACAATTGAGTTTTTGTCACCACTCAGCTAAAACTGTTCTTCTGACAGTCACCATTGAGCTCCACATTGTAAGAACCTGTGAACATTTCTTAGTCCTCATACTGATACTTACTTGACTTTTAGGAGACCACACTCTCCTGAGTTTCTCCCTACCTTTCTGGCTGTTCCTTTTCAGTCTCTTTGCCAGTTCCTTTTTACTTTCCTGTTATGTTTGGGACTCAGTTGTTAGACTTCTTTTCCATCTATACTCATTCCCTAAATGATTTCATCCAGTCACATGGTCTTAATTGCTCATGTGACTGATGACTCCCAAATTTGCATCTCCAGTCTGGACACCTCCTCAGAACCCCAAATGATACATATTCATCTGCATCTCTGTATGTCTAAGAAGCATACGAAATCTCATATATTTGCCACCAAACCCGTTCCTTTTATAGTCTTCATCTCAGGTATTACATCTCTCATGTGATGGCTTCTTATCACACTAAGCTTTCCTAATTTTTCATTTCCAGAATAAACTTCAGTAATGATTTACTAGTTATTTATTAATCCCTTAATGTACTGCTGAATTCTTTTTACTAGTATTTTATTTAGGATTTTTGTATTGTTCTTCATAAGTGATGTTTCTTTAAAGTTTTCTTTTTGTATTGTCTTTTTAAGCATCGATAAAATGTTACATACTAAGCACTTAAAAAGAATCTGGATATTTTCCTTCTTTTCCTGTGCTCTGGAGAAGTGATACAGTATTGGAATTATTTATTCTTTATAGGTTAGTACAATTCTTGTATGAAACCATCTGGACCTGGGATCTTTTTTAGTGGTCATGGTAGCTCTTTATCAGTTTTATTTATTCTATGGACATTAATCTGCTTAGATTTCTTTCTCTCATCACTAAGCAGTTGTATTAAGTTTGAGAGAGGAGTACCTTGTTACAGCTCAGCAGGGGGGAAAGTCTAGGCACCCCATTTGACCTTTGTACCTTTGTCAAAATGTAATTGACTACGTAAATAGGTCTGTTTTTGAACTCTGTGTTCTGTTGATCTGTTCATCTGTCTTTGTGCTAGTACTACAGACCCTAAGGACTGTAGCCTCCAGTTCTGTTTTTCTAAGTCATTTTGGCTACTCTAGGTCCTTTGCATTTCCATGTGATTTTTGAAAATCAGTTTGTCAATTTGTCCACGGTCTATGTTTCTGCACTATAAAGACATAATTGTATGTTTTATGGTCTTTATTAAATAATTAAAACATGTTAATTTCAGAAACTTTAGAATGTATAGGTATGTAAAAATTTTACAGATATATACATCACCCAGATCTTGAATAAATAAGCCATTTTAAAATATATAATCCAATGTTTGGGTTTTTTTGGAGACATGGTTGTACTACATGTTTGTAAAGATATATATATGGGTATATATGGGTATACACATGGGTATTTGTTCCTATCTATAGAAATAAAGAAACTTTCTTCCAGAAGAAAGCTTGGAAGGTTATATACCAAAGTATTAGCGGTTGTCTTTGGGTGGCATGATTAAGGATCAACTACGTTTTAACCTTATCAGGATATTATTATGATAAACTATTGAAGGCTAATGTAAAAATTGTTTTATTATTATTGGCATAATTTAGTACTTTAATAAAAATGCATCAATTAATGAGATTAGAAATTTTGTATCTTTTCAGAAAAGTTTTTTGTTCTTTTCAAATAGTTCCATCAGAGTCCCTTTGTACTGCCAGCTAGCCAGAAGAAAAGAGTTAGTAAACAGTACAAGTTGATGCGTCTTCCATTTGCAAGGTAATTTCTTCAGAGCTTGGTTAAATATTGACTTGCAAGCTTCTGTCTAAATTGGACTTTGAATAGTTTTTATTTGGTCTGCTTCCTCGAAATATAGAAAAAACTTTTTTTTTTAATTGTGATTTGGGTGAAAATTGACAGAGCAAATTCACTTTCCATACAGCAGTTCACACACACGTTGTCTCTTGACGTTGACTACAATTTACCCCAATGCAACAGCTCCCCTCCCACTTCCTCCCGATAGTTACCTCTTCCCTGTGTCTATCCCTCTGTGCACTCCTGCTGCCTGAACTGTCTCCCTGTGCATAAACAGCCGCCCTTAGAAAAAACATTGTTAAGTAAATAAAGAAATATTGCTAACATTATACTGATTAAAGAAATTGGAGCCATAATCTAATTGAATTCAGTTTTAAACCTTGAAATAATTTTCAGCTTTCCCATAAACAGTAGAGAATGAGGCACAGGTGGATTCTTAGGTATGGGTTTGAATTACATTGGGTTCATATTATGAAGATTTTATATAACATGAATAGTATTTGTGTGTGTTGCACAATGTTTGGGTTTGATCAATCTGTAGTTACCTACTAAGGTCTGAATAAGAAGGTGTGTGATATCTTCCTACAAATTTTGTATCTCCAGGATTCCAAGGAAACTTACCCCTCAATTCAATAACCAAGCTTGCCTTGGTATCCTGCCATTCTTTAGTTCTTTTCTTTCTTTCCCCCAGGTCATCACTGAGGTCTTCTGCCCCTTTATTGCCCCAAGCTTTAAAATTAACTTTTACATTTGCCATTCCCCTCCTGACCCAAATTCTCATTTCTTGATTAATTGATTATAAGCTATAGAGCTCTGGTAGCATAGTACCTAAGGCACTTGACTGCTAACCAGAAGGCTGGCGGTTCAAACCCACCAGCCACTCCTCGGAAGGAAGGTTGGGCAATCCTACTTCTGTAGTGATACTGCCTCGGAAACCCAAGGAGGGGTCGCTATGAGTCAGGGCCGACTTGATGGCAAATAACAACAAAAACAACAAGCTATAGAAAGTACCTTCCTTCAAACTTACCATTTTTAAAGACAGTCATTGAGGACTTAAAAGGTGAAATTACTCAGTGAGTAATTGATCAGAATCTCTTACCTCTTTTAAGACAATGTTCTTTTTGTTACATGATATATAATTCTAGTGATTTTATGTGAGCGCACAAGTAAAAATTCTTATGTCTATTGTGTCACTATCATTTGCGTTTGTTCCACTGATTTGGCTATTCTACTGTACTAGCATTCAACTGTGCCTGTACATTTTGCTTGCTGTACCTTTAAAATAGTAAATTTTGTTATCTTGTAGGTCCTCGATTTAAGTTATTTTTCAAAAATATCTTGGCTTTCCTAATGCACTTATTGTTTCATATAAATATGCAAATCAAGTGTCAGCTAGCCTTCCAAAAAATTTCATTGTGGGTTTTTTTTTTTTTTTTTAAGTAAACTTTTGTTTGAAATATAACATACATATTCTTACTGCCATTGAGTTGATTCTAACTCATAGCAACTCTATAGGACAAAGTAGAACTGCCTCCATAGGGTTTCCAAGGCTGTAACTGTAGAGTAGATTTGAACCACTGACCTTTTGCTTAGCAGCTAAATGCCTTCCTTAATCACTGCACCAGCAGAGCTCTTCAACATACATATTAGAAAAGTGCAAACATCTTTAGAGCATGGTGAATTTGCACCATGTAAACATCACTGTGTAACCAGTACTAAGATCAAGAAACAACATTACTAGCACTTCACATAGCCTCCTTATGTTCCTTTCTAATCACTAGCCACCACTCACTCAAGGATAACTACTATTCTGATTTCTAACATCATAGATGGAATTATTTTACCTATTTTTAAACTTCATATAATGGAATCATACAATATGTGTGATTTTTTTTTTTTTTTGGTCTGACTTCTTTGCTCAGCATTACTTGTGAGATTCATCCATATTGCTGTATGTAGTTGCAGATCTGCAGATCATTCGTTCTCATTGCTGTATAGTATTCCATTGTATGATTATACCACAATTTATCTGTCTGTCCTTTTAATGGTTAACATTTAGTTTTTCAAGTTTTCACTTAATACAAATAGTGCAGCCATATCGTTTGATGAATGTAAGTATACATTTATATGGGTCTATACTTGACAGTTTAATTACTTGTTTATATATATTTGGCTTTAGAGAAGATGCAAGATAGTTTTTTGAAATGGCTGTACTAATTTACCTTCCTACCAGCAAGATGGTAAGAATTCCTAGTCTGCATCTTTGATAGCACTTGTAATTGTCTGTCTTTGATTTTAACCACTTTGGGAGTGTGTATAGTGGTATTATATTGAGTTTTCAATTTTCATTTTGGTGGTAACTAATGAAGCAACCTGTTCCTATGTTTATTTTTTTCCTTTTGGGTTATCTTGTACAGATTTGTGACCATTCTTTATGCTGTGCCTGAGTTCTTTTTATGCTACCCTTATCTTCTACTCTGTGGCTTGCCTCTTTACTTTCTTAATGGTATCTTTAGATGAACAGAAGTTCTTTACACACACACATACATACATATATATATATCAGAAGGTCTGGTGACATAGTGGGTAAGGCATTTGGCTGCCAACCAGAAGGTCAGCAGTTCAAACCTACCATCTGCTCCATGGGAGGAAGATGAGGCAATCTACTTCTGTAAAGATTTAGAGTCTTAGAATTCCAATGGAGGTCACTATGAGTTAGAATCACCTCGATGGCAGTGGGTTTGTTTTTTGGTTTTATATATATAAATATTTGTATATATGCATATACATATATATGTATTTACATATATGTATGACTGATACTTTTGGTATCCTTTTAAAGAAATGTTTACTAATTTCAATATCGTAATGTGTTTAATGTTTTCTTCGAAAAGCTTTATCTTCCCCTTCATGTTTTTTAGATCTTCAATCTACCTGGAATTTTAGGGTATGGTGTAAGGGAGGGGGTCAAGATTCATTTTTTTCATGTGGATATCTAGTTGACCTTATACCATTTGGCCCAAGGTCCAACTTGTATTTAATCATGGTTTGTTGTTTATTGTTATGTGCCCTCGAGTCGGGCCCGACTCATAGCGACCCCTCCTTGGGTTTCCGAGGTTTACTACGGAAGTAGATTGCCCAGTCTTCCTTCTGAGGAGTGGCTAGTGGGTTTGAACCACCAGCCTTCTGGTCAGCAGTCAAGTGCCTTAGGCACTATGCTACCAGAGCTCCCTAACCATGGTCTTGTTGACCATTTATTGAAAAGACCATTCATGATATGTCATGATAATTGGAGAAAAGATTGAAATTGTCAAGTATTTCCTTTTACCATTTTTTACCATTACCATGGAGTTGGATCTGACTCAAAGCGACCCCTACTTGGATTTCTGAGGCTGTATCACTATGGAAGTAGATTGCCCAACCTCCCTTTCAGGGAGTGGCTGGTAGGTTTGAACTGCCAGCCTTATGGTCAGCAGTCAGATGCCTTAGGCACTATGCCACCAGTACTCCTATCCATGGAAGCAGCACTCAAGAAATCAAAATGACATACTGTGTTGGACAAATCTGCTGCAAAAGACCTCTATAAAGTGTTTAAGAGCAAAAATGTCACATTGTTGACTAACGTGCGCCTGACACAACCCGTGGTATTTTCCTAGCCTCATATACATATGATAGCTGGATAATGAGTAAGGAAGACTGCAGAAGAATTGATGGGTTTGACTTTTGGTGCTGGCAAAGAATATTGAATGTACCATGGACTGCTAGAAGAATGAATAAATCTGCCTTGGAGGAAGTACAGCCAGAATGCTCTTTAGAAGTGAGAATGATCAGACTTCAACCCTTGTGCTTTGGTGATGTTGTCAGAAGGGACCAATCCCTGGACAAGGATATTATGCTTGGTAAAGTAGAGGGGCAGTGTTTTGTTCTGTTGTATGTAGGGTCTCTGTGAGTGAGAACCAACCTGACAGCACCGAACAACAACATTCCTTCCCCAGCTTACTGCAGGTCATTTTTACTATGAGTCAGGTGACTAGAGATGTACGGGTTTATTTCTGAACTCATTGTTACATAAGTCCTTTTGTCAATACTGCATTATCTTGATTATTAACTTGGTAATAAATCTTGTTATGTGATAGTGTACATCTCTATTTCATTTATTTATTTTATTGCTTTGCCCATTCTTGACCCTTGCATTTCCATGTGAATTTTAGAATCAGCTGTCAATTTTTTTACTGTGCTTTTATGATTATCCTAGTGATAACAACATTCATCCTTGATTTATTACACTAATACAGATTATTACTTTACCACCTTCAATAATGCTAATACCTTAGAATACTTTAAAAACATCATCTTCCACTTCATGCCTTGTTGTTATTATGCATTTTCATTTCTTACATATTTCAGTCCCATAAGCCGCTACTTTTCATTGTTTTGTGTCGCCAATATTGATTGATAATGACCTATATGTTTTCCTTTTCTGTTGTTCAAATCCTTTCCTGCGTTTTTATATTTCTTTCTGAGATAATTTGCCTTCTGCCTGAAGAAATCTTTTTTTATTTCTTTTAATGCAGGTTGCCAGGCAATGGATATGCTCAGTTTTGTTTCTTTTCTGGAAATATCTTTATTTCACATTCACTTTGAAGATACAGTTGCAATTACAGAATTTTAGCTTCAGAGTCACTTTCTTTCAGTTCTTAACGGATGTCATTACTAGTACTTACCTTTAAATTTTAACAAATATTTTCCAATCTTTTTTTCACTGTCAAGAATTTCTAAATAACTAATTTTTTTTTTTTAAGGATGCAAGGCAAGATCTTTAGCATTGGGGGATATTACTCTTTATTCTTTGAATTCAAGAATGTCAGTTTATCGAATCATTTCTATGGGTTTCTGTCTCCATTTAGCCCTCACAGATTTAGCTACATTAGGGATATGGTTTTCATTTATATGGATGCTTTCTGAAAACAGAATAAATGAATTTCTAACATAACTTTCCTCTGGCTTCTAACAAACATAATCATATGTACAGGAAGAATTTTAAGTATTCCACAGAATTAAATATAAGAAAAGCATAAATATGAGGTAATTTTTGTAAGATATAAATTCCTTATTCTAGAATTTCCCACTTGTCTGCAGGGTTCCATTAACTTCAAATGATGATGACGATGATGATGATGATGGTAATGAGAAAATGCAGTATGACAACAAAGTTATGTCCAAACCATCACCTGATATTTCCTCTCTGATATCAACAAAACAACCTTTGTCAACTCAATATAATCTGGAATTGTCATTTACTAAAGTAAATAACCAGAATGTGCATGGTTTAGAGGATTCAGAACCTATTTCTTCTGTTGATACACTTTCCAAAGGTGAGATTGTTTTAAAAATTCCTTTTGCACATCAGTATTAAATACTTGTATCTATCAGACTTTCTTCTTGAGGGCAGTGATGCACAAACAGTTAATAACTTAGATCTCTTCTGGATTTGCTATCTCTATTTAAAACTGTTGATGAGAAATTTAATTTATAAATAAATATGCTGATAGTGTCAGATCCACGGTGACCTAAGATGATTACTGTAAAGCAGTGTTCAGAAATGAGAGCGTTTTCATTGTGCCCTAGCATATGACTCAAACTGTCCCACATATCTATTTTGTTTCACCTTCTCCTTTTTGTCAATAAGAAAATTAGGGTCTACATAGGTTAAGTGACTTTTTAATCATAAGCATTCAATGGTAAAACAAAAGCTTAAGCCTGGGCAATAGTTGAGCAGGAGAAAATGATGATACTTTTTTTAATGTGGTATTTCTAAATGATAATTCCATGCTTAAATTTTATGGTGCTTTTGTATTGGTCATAGATTTTCAGATTGGAATAGGAAACCATAACTATGTTGAATTTGGAACTTAGAATTATTTTTCATTTCTAAAGAATTACATGTATTATTGTATTTACATAAACTTTAGTGGCTTGTTGATAGCTTTTTGATAATAATCCTAATTAGAGTTATCACTGTGTTTGAGTTTATTTGCTGGTCTCCCTCCACTTGAGAAATATATGCCAGAGGCTATCCTGTTGGCTGTCCTCCATCCTAGTGTTGGGGCTGAGACACAGTGAATTTTCAGTATATATTTTCCATAGATTCATGTGTAAAGTGTGACTTACAAATATTCTGATTATTTCTACTTTATTTTTATCAGCATATTCTTAACATTACAATGATCTTAACAGAGCACATTGATAGAAATCATATCTGTTAAAGAGCTTACTTTCCAGTCTGTTTAAAATGTTACATTCCTTTTCACTGCATATTTCTGAATTTTCTTTGTTTTATATAGAAAGCCATTCCCATTCAGACCAAAGTTCCAAGAGTTCCCTAATGAGTGAGATGAAAAGTGTCCAGTCCATCAGCTGCAGAAAGGAGAAACCATATCCTAGTAATGTGACTGAAAGGAAGAAGCATGTACCATCGTGGGAGTCAAATAATCCCTCTGCAAACACTCCCTCTGTGGCAGATTTAGATAAACAGCTGATTCCAAGTCCAGATTTAAATTGGAGTAAGGAGATAAATAATATTAAGGAAACAAATATTAAAATGCAAAGAGAGGTACAGTACCTTCCCGGCTCATCTTCTGAGACTGTGAGTGAACCTGTTGCAGAGGGCATGAGTGAAGTCCAGGGAAGTGATGACTTACAGTTGCAGAAAACTGTGTATGATGCTGACATGGATTTAACTGCTGGTGAAGTAAGCAAAATTATTACAGTTTCAACAGGCACCAGAAATAGAAGGAATAAAACAACAAATGATTGTGGAGTGAAAACTTTCAGAAAAGTAAAAGATTCAAACACTAACAAAAAAAGAGAAAGATTAAATAGGCAACTGAAAAACAGTTTAAATGTGGATACTGAGGAAAAGATTGAAAACAGGCCAGAGAGATCTGTTGTCGTTGATGGCAAAGGTGATTCAGAAGATCCAGAGTTGATTGTCAGTTCTGAGCAGCTGCCTCATGTGAACGTACTGAAGAAAACAACCCTCCATAGTGACTTGGATCAAGATGACAGACAAAGTACACAACGTAATAAAAAGAAAAGAACATATTTAATGAATGAGGGAGAGGAAACTTGCTTTTTCTCCCAAAGTTCTGATAAATTCCATCAGGAGAATAAGTTTGAAATGGGTCAGATTTCCCTTGCTTGTAATAAAAGTAAAGCTTCAAGACAGACATTTGTGATTAATATGTTAGACAAAGGTAACTTATCCCCAAACCAAAAGGATAAAGAAACCATTTCTGAAAACCTAGAAATCACAAGTGAATTTCAAGTAGCTGATCTTTCCATCATAGATAGTGGAAATTTACATAATTGTGAGATCCAGAATATGTTTGGCTTGAAAAAGCATGTCACCAATATGCAACTTGCTCAGCAAAATGAATCAAAAGTAAATAAGAAGCTTAGGCAGAAAGTAAATCGGAAAACAGAAATAATTGCTGACATGAACCATAGATATGAAAATAATGATAAAAGTGTATATGACCCAGAAAAAGGTAACTTTTTCTTCCAAACCCAAAAGAATAAAGAAACCATCCCTGGAAATGTAGAAGTCTCCAGTGAGTTTCAAACACTTACTCTTTCCACCAGAGATAATGGAAACCTATGCAATTGGGAGATCCAGAATGCGTGGAGTTTGAAAAAGGATGTCACTGATGAGCAGCCCCCTCAGCAAAACGAATCAAAACTCAATAAGAAGCTTAGGCACAAAGTCAACCGGAAGACAGAAATAATTTCTGAAATGAAGCAAATAAATGGAAATAATGATAAAGATGTGCATGACCCAGAAAAAGATGACTTTTTCTTCCAAACCCCAAAGAATAAAGAAACCATCTCTGGAAATGTCGAAGTCTCAAGTGAGTTTCAAACATCTGCTCTTTCCACCAAAGATAAGGGAAACCTGGGTAACTGGGAGATTCAGAATGTATTGAGTTTGCAAAAGCAGATCACTGATACATACCCTGTTCAGCAAAATGAGTCAAAAGTAAATAAGCTTAGGCAGAAAGTAAATCGAAAGACAGAAATAATTTCTAAAATGAATCATGCAGATAATGACAAAGGTATGTACTGCCCAGAGAAGGGTAACTTTTTCATCCTAACCCCAAAGGATAAAGAGACTATCCTTGAAAACGTAGAAGGCTCAAATGAGTTTCAGACACCTGCTCTTCCCACCATAGATACTGGAAACATACGTGATTATGGGACTCAGGATGTTTTGGAGGTGAAAAAGCATGTCCATGATAAGCAACCTGCTTGTCAAAATGAATCAAAAAGAGACAAGAAGCGTAGACAGAAGGTTTATCGGAAGACAGAAATAATTTCTGAAATGAACCAGAAATATGAGAATAACCCAGAAAAAGGTAACTTTTGTGTAACCCAGAAGGATAAAGAAACCATCCCTGAAAGCCTGGGAGATGCAAATGAGTTTCAAATACCTGATTCTTCCCCCAGAGGTATTCAAAATCTACGTGATTATGAGACCCAGAATATGTTGGGCTTAAAAAAGCATGTCACTGGTAAGCAATCCACTCAACAGAATGAACCAAAAATAAATAAGAAGCTTAGGCAGAAAGCAAATAGGAAAACAGAAATAATTTCTGAAATAAACCAAATAAATGACTATAATAACAAAGATGTGTATGACTCAGTAAAAGGTAACTTTTCCCTAATCCAAAAGGATATAAAAACCATTTCTGAAGATCTAAAAATCATAAATGAATTTCAAAGAGCTGATCTTTCCACCAAAGATAATGGAAATGTATATGATTATGAAACTCAGAATATGTTGGGTTTGAAAAAGCGTGTTACAGATACACAACCTGTTCAGCAAAATGAATTAAAAATAAATAAGAAATTCAGGCAGAAAGTAAATCGGAAGACAGAAGTAATTTCTGGGATGAACCAAATATTTGAGGATAATGACAAAGAGATGCATGGTCCAGAAAGCAATACAAGCAATCTTGATTTTCAAATAAGTCAATCTAAACGGAAACTTGAATGCCAAGCCATTAGCAGTGGCTATTGCATGGAAATCTACAGTGACGAAAAGGAAAATTGTGATGAAGTTCCAAATCCTTACACGCTAGTTAAAAAGCACATGAGGGAATCCTCAGGCAATGCAAAGAACATTTTGGTTAAAGGTAAGCACAAACCTATTTTGCAGTTAACAGATTCTTCACAGACTTCTGTCTCCTTAGAATCAGATTTAAAGCAAATTGCTAAGGAGTCAGAATATGTTCCTAGAAACCAAATTGAACTCCATAAGAATCAGAGGCAAAGCACTATTACTCAGAATAAAAAAAGAGATTTCTCTTTTGTGGAAGTGAAAGAAGGAGAGTGCCAGGTAAAAAAAGTAAATAAAGTGACATCCAAATAAAAGAAAAGGGAGACCATGATAGACCCCCAGGTAGTGATGGAGTAATGACAATCATATCAAACTCTGTTCAGGGAAGGTCAGTTGAATCTGAACAAGTAGATGAGGGAAAAATTGGAGACTGAGAAAATTGTCACAATTGAGCCAGACTCTTACAGAAAGATGCTTAAACCTTTGTCTCAGATACATTTACCTAAAATACCAGATTCTACCTTTAACCCTGTTCTTGAGGGTTCAAGACCTTTGGGTATTTCTTCTAGTAAAAATAAAGTAAAAGAAAGCTGACAAGTTCACCAATCTTTCAAGTAAGTGATGATATACACGAGAAGATGAGAGAGAGAAAATTTAAAGACACCCAGAGAACACAAATCAGGAGTAGGTAGGTCAGTACCTGACGCAGTCGTGTCTTAGAAGTTACTTTTTTTCCTTCACTTAGCCAGTAAGGTTTTTCCATTTCAACTGACATTTTTATGAAATTTTAAAACAATATATACCTGTGTAGCTTGATCTATTGAAAACAACATGAAGGCATTTAAAGAAAGTTTAACATTTTGGGAAGATAGAGTATCTTGAACATTTACAGCCTACCAAACTGGGCCTTTGCAAACTTATCTATTAGTGGCTTAAGGCAGATAATTTCCTTTCTCATATGTTTGAAGGAAATTCAGTGTTTTAAGTGAATATAATAATGCAGTGGTTTTATTTACCAAAGATAATTACAAGTTTCTTAAGGGTGGGAGTATTTTCCATTTACTGCATTTATATTTAATGTGATCAAAGCATTGTACTAGGTGGTGTAGAAGGTTGAAATATAATACCAGCTCTCTTTCTTCAAAATATAATTATGTAAAAGTAACAAATACAGTTGTGAAATGTGGTGAGTGCTTTAATAAAAGCACAAACATACTAAAGGGTTATAATGGAGAGTAATTTTGACTAGAGGAATTTGCAGATGCATCATGAATTCAGTAGCATTTCAGGCCCCAAGGGATAGGTAGAACTTTTGCCCTTAGTGTCTGCTCACCACTTACCCTCATCACCTGGAGAAACTACAGTCAGCATTTTGGCATATGCATCTGGACTTTCATGTGTGGATTTTTCAATATATATTTGAAATCATACTGTATATAAAATTATGTATCCCACTTTTTTTTTCTTCTTAGTCCCATATCAAGAAGAATTTTCTTCAATGAGCCTAATACTTTAAAACATTTTTGTAAAAACCATCATTCTGATGGATAAGGCTGTTCCAGGTAATAGGTGAAAAAAACAAAGCAAAAGTACAAAGGGGTAGAATTGCGGATCCACTAGAGAACTGGTGAGCGAGCTTTCGTCTTGGTGCCGTCACCTTCATGACGAGTGAGCAGAGTGAGCGGTCAGTGAAGCATACGCTGAAAGAATGAGTGCGGTAATTTGTGTGAGTTTGTGACTAGAGTTGAACCACGAAGAATTTTTGTCAGCCTATTTGTGATTTCAGAATCAAAATTTTGCAGCCTACTTGGATAGTTTGTTTTAAGCTTTAAGTCTCTATTCCTCTAAAATTTTTGGAAATAATTTAACTGATGTACAATAATTTGTATTGTGAATATTGTAATGTTTTAAAGTTTAACTTGATAGTTAAGTCTTAAAATGTGTTGCCTATGATTTGCAAACTACTGTATTTTGTATCTATTTCTATAGCTTTATATTCTTTACACGTATTTGTGAAAATTCTTCTTTTCAGGCAATAGAACACTGCAGGACTTGACCAATACCAGTTTTGTTTCAAATAACACTCCTGAATCTGAAAATAAGGCAGATGATCCATCTTCAGAACTGCCAGGCAGAAGAAGAAGATGTATTCCTCTCTCTTTAAAAGAGCCCAGTCTCAAAGGGTTAGTATTTCTGTAGTATTAAAATGATTTTAATATACTATTGTAAAATGTGCCTGGTAGTGTAGTGCCTAAGGCACTTGACTGCTAATCAGAAGGCTGGTGGTTCAGACCCACCAGCTACTCCTCCGAAGGAAGGTTGGGCAATCTACTTCCCTAGTGATAACGCCTGGGAAACCCAAGGAAGGGTCGCTATGAGTTGGGGCCACCTCGACAGCACATAACAACAACATTGTAAAATGTGTACTACTTACCAAAAAAATATATATATATGCTTAAATTAGTATTTGACACTTCTGACTAGCAATAAAACATGAATTGTTTGGTGGACTATAAAGTTAACTATCTTTTCCTTTAGAATTTATGAATTTTGAGGGAGAGATTCTTTGAGTCTTTACATTGTGTTTCTTCTCAAATATTCAGCCACTAATTTTAACATCCATTGGTAGATCTTGCCTGCAATGATTATTATGATAATCATGCAATGACATTCTATTTCCCTTTTTCTGTCTACATTTATTAGTGAGAATTCTTCTGTGAAGAAGAGCTGTCTTTTCTTCTCCACTTATTTATTTAAATTATAAATATATAAATTTATATGTTGTTGTTATGTGCCGTCAAGTCGTCTCTGACTCATAGCGACCCCTCCTTGGGTTTCCAAGGGCTGGTGGGTTTGAACTGTCCACCTTCTGGTTAGCAGTCAAGTGCTTTAGGTAGGCATTATGCTACCAGAGGGCCCATAAATGTATATATATAATACAATACAAATTAATGAATAACTATGGGCTCGTGGGTATCTCAAAAAGTTTAATTTATTTAAAACCATTACTATCAATATTTATTTTATTGCTGAAATTATTGTAATTTTGGCCATTAGGAGTACATTCAGATTGGTTCCTGTGTCTTTTTGACAAGACCCCATGCTATTTTGTACACTTCCTTACTTTCTGACATAGAAGATGCTCCAGACTCATCTTAGGTTTCCTCTGACCCAGCCCTGGAATCAAGCACTTTTGAAAGGAGCCTGGTTCCTTTGATTGGAGAATGTGTTTAGAAACCAAGATCTTGGATGATTTTATATGTATATATATGTATATGTACATATATAATTTATCATGTTAAGAAAGTTTCTCTCAGTGACTATTTTCATGAATGTTTTTATTGTGAATGAGTGTTGAGTTTTGTGAAAAGCTTTTTTAGAATCTATGAAGATAATCAAATTTTTTATTTCCTTAGATTTATTAACATGGTGTATAATGATGGGTTTTCTAATACTGAACCAATGTTGCATTCCTGGGATAATCCCACTACATCATGATGTGTGTTTTTCATGCCGTGATACTGCTTTTGCTTCCTAAAATACTTGGTTAGAATATTTGCACCAACATCCCTAAATGATTGGTTCCATAGTTTTGAACTGTCTTTATCTGGTTTAAGTATCAGTGTCATACTTGTTCATAAAAGAAATTAAGTTTTTCTTCCTTTATCATGCTCTGAAATAATTTATAGAGCATTGTGACTCTCTGGTCTTTGATTTTTTAAAAATTTGTTATTGTGATTTGGGTACATATTTACAAAGCAGATTAGTTTTACTCTCAACAGTTCATGCACATTTGGTTTCAAGACCCCAGTTACAATTCCAACAATGTAAAGCTCTCCTCCCATCTCCTCCCTGCACCCACCCCCTCCCTGTGCCCTTCTTATCTATGCATTCCTGTCTGTCCAGTTTTTCCTCTATGCAAATGCTGCCCTTCTGGTGTCCCATGGTTCATTGATTAAGGGGTGCATCTCCCTGGGGTAGGTGTTCTGCTTGCAGCCCTCTCTACTGTTTGGCTGAGATCCTGAAGGATAACCTGGGGCCATAGTCTCAGAGGTTCTATCAGTCTCTGCCCAACCAGTACTTCTGGTCATTTTTGTGTCTTTGAATTTTATCTGGTCTTTGATTGGGTAGAATTCCTCTCTGAAACCATCTAGATCTGGTGCATTTTATGTAGAGTGGTTCCTTAATATTGTCTGTTTCTTTTGATATAATTGATCTGTTTAAGCTTTCTCTCTCTAATGGAATCAGTTTTGGTTATTTGTATTTCCATAGGAAGTTATCCATTTTATCTAGGTTTTTAATTTATTTGCATTGAAGTCTGTAGAAGTATTTTATGAATTTTTAAATATCTTTTTTTGTCAATAATTATTTCTGTCATTTATTATTTTTATATTTGTACTTTTTCTCATAATTTTTCTTGAGCAAGTTTTGGTAGTGGTTTGTCTATTTTGTTAACTTTTCCCAAAAAAATTATTTATGAATTAGATCTACATTTTTTATTTTCTACATTTAGTTTCTTCTTTTTTCTTTACTATTTCCTTCTTTGTGCTTTCTTCCATTTATTTTCTTTTTGTTTTCTAGTTTGTAGAAGTGGGAATTCAGCTGATTTATTTTTATTCTTTCACTTATGCTGATGAAACTGTTTAGTGCAAATGAATTTTCCTCTGATCATTGCTTTAAATACACCCCATGGATTCTAACACATCGTGTTATCATTTCTATTATTTTTTAATTTCTCCTTTTATTCAGGAATTGTTTAATGGGAAGATTTTCTAAATATCAAGGTGGATAAACCTTTCTGTTTTTGTTTTTTCTTTAAGTTCTAATTTTATAACATTATGGTTATAGATTTTAAAGTAATATTTCTACTTTATGGAAATTAATGATATTGTCTTTATGACCTAATATATGATCAGCTAGGAGCCCTGGTAGTGTAGTGCCTAAGGCACTTGACTGCTAATCAGAAGGCTTGGTGGTTCAAACCCACCAGCCACTCCTCAGAAGGAAGGTTGGGCAATCTACTTCTGTAGTGACACCGCCTCGGAAACCCAAGGAGGGGTCGCTGTGAGTCGGGTCCGACTCGACAGCACATAACAACAACAACATTTGATCAGCTACAAAAGCTGTAGCTGTGCTCTGAGCACTTGAGAAGAATGTGTATTCTGTTTCAGAATTCAATATATATCCATAAGATTTACCCTACTGATTATGTTGTAGAGATCTTCTGTCTCCTTAATTATTTGTGTACTTGAACTGTCTTACACTGAGAGTGAATATTAAAAGCTCCTATTATTATTGTGTTTCTAGTTATTTCTCCATGGATCTCCTATAATTTTTGCTTCATAAAGATGGTTACTCTACTATTTTGTGCATAAATATTCATAATTGGTATATATTCACAGTGGATGTGGCTTTTACTATTAAAAATGCCCTCTTTTGTTAAGCACAGTTGCTTTGAGGCTTAAGACATAAAGGACTTTAAAAGTATATTTTCATTACCTTCCTGATAACTCCAGGACTTTTGTCCTCAATACTGTGATGATCACTTGATAATAGCAATTAGCTTCAGTCATGATCTGCTCTCATGCAAGCTACCAGAAGGTGTGATATACCTGCTGCATGCCATTCCCAATCTAAAAAAGACAGAAGAAAATTGATGCCAGCTGAATTGTCATCATTCTTAGTGTTTATAAGGAGCTCCAGTGGTATAGCACCTAAGGCATTTTTGACTGCTAACCAGAAGGCTGGTGGTTCAAACCCTTCTGCAGAAGGAAGACTGGCTAATCTACTTTTGTAAAGATTAACCACCTCAGAAACCCACTGAGGGTTGCTGTGAGTCAAGATCAACTCGATGGCAGTGGGTTTGGTTTTTTCAGTTTTCTGGTGGTGGTGTTCTGGTAGCATAGTGCCTAAGTTACTTGACTGCTAACCAGAAGGCTGGCGGTTCAAACCCACCAGCCACTCCTTGGAAGGAAGGTTGGACAATCTACTTCCGTAGTGATACTGCCTCGGAAACCCAAGGAGGGATCGCTATGAGTCGGGTCCAACTCGACGGCACATAACAACAACAACAACAGTGGTGTTGTGGGTAAAGCATTTTGCTGCTAATCAGAAGGTCGGCAGTTCAAACCCACCAGCTGTTCTGTAGGAAGAAGATGAGGCAATCTACTGCTAAAAGATTTATAGCCTCGGAAACCCAATGGGGGCACATTATGTGTCAGAATCAACTCGATGGCAATAGGTTTGGATTTTTGGGGGGATTCTTAGTATGTATATTGAACTTGCATTATGATTTTTGCTTTTAAAAAATTTACCAACTAAGCTATTTACCAAAAAATCTATATGTGCAATATATCTAAATTAGAATAGTATTATAGCATTTTGCTATGTTTCAGTTTAAAATAGGTAGTTCTTTTGAAATGATTAATTAAATTCTATCTAATTGTCTAAGACAGTAGTATATTGGCTCTAGAGAGGGGCACAGAGGAGAGAGAAAAAGAGAGGTTCTCCTTCTTTTTATACTTTTTAAATTTGGGACCATGATGCAGGTATTTTATCCAAAAACTATATATATAGAGAGAGAGAGAATAAAGAATAAATTCAGTTCCACTTCTTGCAACATGATGTACAGAAAGCATGGGTCAATCCTCTTACTGAAGATAAACTAAGATTACTGGGTAAAGCAAACAAACAAACAAAAATCCTTGAACGTATTTGCTAGCTAGTAGGAATAGAAAAAAAAGCTCAGATCAGATCTAATGAGAGAAAGAACCCAGAGAAATAGGTGGAACCTGAAACTGGTTTTTGCCTTGAGTGCATTTGTCTAACTAAGTGGATTTTAGCATTGGATTCACAGCCCTGTGGAGCTGAAGAACAGAAGACAAATCCTAGGGTTGAGCTGAAGTGAAGAGTCTTAATAGTAGATATCCATTAATAAAATTGGACCACTCCTTCAGTAGAAGCACAAACTAAATATAATCTCCCCACCACTCCAGGAAAGACCCCTGGTGCTGAAAACAAGAAGAAAAGAAACTTCCCTGAGAATTCATAACCGTAATCCAGGCTTCATGCAATTGCAGCTGGAATACACACTACCTGGAAGGCCAAAAAACTTTCCAACATTTAGTCAAAGTATTCCGTGACTTGTAGCGGCCCTGGTATCTGTCAGAAGCAAATGCAAATCTTCTCTAGAGAAGCCCTCCTTCATCTCAGGCTGAACATGTTTTGCACAGTTCAAGTTGCAAGGGAAATAAACAGCTCACAGGAAAGAGGACACTAAACACACAGGGAACAAGGCAGCAGCAGAAACTGGTAGTAGAATCAGATAGAGGACATAAAATAAGTGCACTTAATATGCTTCAATAAGTAAATAAAGAGAGGCTTGAAAATGTGTAAAGATGTTGAGTGAAAAAAGCAAGTCACAGAAAAGCAACTACAGTATGATTTTCATCAATATAAAGGTCAAACATAGACAAAACCAAGAATACCCTCTAAAGGAGTGCAATACACAGGTGTTGTTGTTATGTGCCCTCGAGTCAGTCCCAACTCATAACGACCCCTCCTTGGGTTTCCAAGGCGGTTATCACTATGGAAGTAGATTGCCCAACCTTCCTTCCTAGGAGTGGCTGGTGGGTTTGAACCACCAGCCTTCTGATTAGTAGTCAAGTGCCTTAGACACTATGCTAAAGAAAAATGTAAAGAGCCAAAACGTGATTGACACAATTCAGATGGTGGTTACTTTCCGGGGAGGAGAAGGATGTGGTCAGACTTCTGAGGGGTGGTCATACTTCTCTCTTAATTGAGTGTAGGTACATGAATATGGTAGTATTTTTAAATTGTACATGTTCATATATTCCATATGTATGCTAAAGTTCATTATAAAAAGGAAATATTTTTATTTTTATTATTGTTATTTATTGTGATTTGGGTGAAGATTTACAGAGCAAATTCACTTTCCATACAGCAGTTCACATATACTTTGTCTCATGTCATTGACCACAGTTTACCACAATGCAACAGCTCCCCTCCCACTTCCTCCCCATAGTTACCTCTTAAAAAGGAAATATTTTATGTAGTCTAAAATTTGATATATAAAATTTATGTTGATTTGTTTTTCTTATGAATCTTATTTATAGTCCCACTATCTGAGTATTTCAAACATATAGCAAAGCTTGTGGTTTGAGAAAACTGGTATGATGCAAGTTTTCTTCTCCGTGCTTCACAGCATAAGCATTAGGTTTAGATTGATATTGTTGTTAATCTTACTTTTTTTCTATTTTGCAGGAAGATGAGAAGATGAGGTGAATTTATGGATACTGGTTTTCTAAATTCTCAAAGCATAAAGAGTCAAAACAGATATAAGTAAGATCAAGAAGATGGAACACTTGAAAAGCTATTTTTGTTTTCCATATTTTCCCTTTGACTTGCCCATTCTTATATTTAGATGTATATGTATAAAATAGCTATTTTGTAATATTAATCTTTTAAAATTATTTTGGTCATCATCCAACTTATCTTTCTGCTCATTTAAGCTTCCTTCTACCAAAAGCCTTTAACCAAGTGATAGCTATTACCCTTTTAGCCAAATAAAATATATTAATAAATACTTCTGCATTGGTTTCCTTGTTGTACGCCAAGCTATCTTTGCTTTGAACCATTCAGTATATAATGACATCTAAAAGTCTCCTCCTGTCCTGGCCACTTCCCTCTCACCCTTCATTCTGCTGCTTTCAGAAATACTTCTTAGGTGTCAGCTCCTGTATTAGTGCTATTAATATGGTAATCTGATGATGTGGGGGAAAGGGTTAATTTCTCAGGCTCTTGAATTTGGTTTTTAGTTTAAAGATTGCTTGTAAGTCCAGGGTAAAAGTGATAAATCCTATTTATATCTGAGATCATTGTACATACTATATTCAAATGACTAATCAGATTCTGTTGTGCCTAGAAGGAAAAACTTTGACAATCTAAGTTCCAACTCCAGGAACTCCTCTTAGCTCCTGAGGTATTAACAGCAGCTGAGTAGTGCCCTCCCCTCAGAGGTCACCTCCAAATTTCTAGGTCTAATAATCCCAACCTCTTCCGTTTTTAAGTTGGTTCCTAAACATTGCTGGAGGGAATGCAAAATGATACAGCCTGTATAGAAAAGATTTTGGCAATATTTACCAAAAAGATGTATCCATTTATCATTTGACCCACCAATCCTACTTTTAGGAAAAACAAAAACCAAATCCATTGCCATTGAGTTGATTTTGACTCATGATGACCCCTGTGTTACAGAGGGGAATTGCTCCATCGGGTTTTCTTGGCTATAGTTTTTGTGGAAGCAGGTCACGAGGCATTCAGTGGTGCTGCTGGGCGGGCTGAGATTGCCAACTTGTAGGATAGTGGTCAAGTGCAAACTGTTAGTACCACCCAGGGACCACTTTGAGGAAACTAGACCAGAAATTCTCTTACAAAAATATAAAAATTTTCTTCCGGCAAGGTTAATAATGGCAAATATTTGGAGTGATCTAAATAACCATCAATAGGGGATGGTTTATTTGAAAACACTGAAATGAATGGAAATGACTTTGTTTCAAGTTTGTTTCA